ACCTGCAACTCTGTGGGCCCCACACTGGTGACTCAGAGGGCTCCCAGTGACGCCTGAGAGTACCACGCCGGTCTCCAGGAGCCCACAGGTCTCCTGAAGGCCTCTGCTGGCCCTTGCTGGTCTCTTGAAGACCACTTGCCCCATGCATGTGTCTCTGAGGAGTGAGGACTCTCACAACGATGCCTTTGAAAGTCTTCACCGGCGACTGTGAGGGCACCACACAGACACGTCTGAGGGCCCTACACCGCCACCTCTGACACACCAGTGTCTCCTGAGGTCCCACATCGGCGACTCTGAGGGTCCCACACCGGCGCCTCTGGGGCCCCACACCAGTGCCTCTGGCAGTCAGCCACCGGTAACTCTGTAGGTCCTACACCGGTGACTCTGAGGGCCCCACCGGCGTCTGAGAGTACCATGCCGATCTCTAAGGACTCCACAGGGCTCCTGAAGATACTGCCGGCGATCACTTGCCGGCCTATGAAGGCCCATTATTGGCATCATACGGCCCGTTACCGGCCTCTGAGGGCCCTTTGTCGGTCTCTGAGAGGTCCTACTGGGTTATTAAGCATTCGCATTTCGCACCAACAACTCCAAGGGCCCCACACACAACCATCTGTGAATGGTGTGGGCTTAGCGCCACACCAGTGTCTGAGGCACCACAACGGCGTCCATGTGAGGGCCTCACACCAGCACCTTAGAGGGCCCACACCCGCTCCTTTGTGGTTCCTGCACTAGTGCCTCTGAGAGCCCCACACCACTGCCTCTGGGGAACCCACACCGATACCTTTGATGGTCCCACGCCAGTACCTCTTAACCCGCGCCCCACTGGGGGGGGGGCTATTTATAGCCCCCCCCCTCCCGTTTTTCTGCAATAACTTCCAAACCGCTTGATGTATCGACGCCAAACTTTCAGTACCTTCGGCTGCATCAATTTGCCACCTTGTGTCAAAATTTGAACTTCGTACCTACCATAGGTCGGCCGTAAATGACGTCAGAGTGACGTCATGTTCGGCCGATTTCGACGCAAAACATTGAACCGCGGCAATCGCTCCCAAGAGCTCAGTTTTTAAGCTAGATCCAATTTCTTTGCATGAAAGGACTCAGAATAGACTGCGCTATCAAACTGCTATCTCGGATTTTCAAAATTTTAAAAATTTCGACAATGTTATATAATAAAACTCAAAATTTATATTTTTACATTTTTTTCGAAAATTTTTTGACTATTCGAAAAAACCGGAATATATGTGATAGAACGCATTATTATGACTAACTCTAGCAAGTTTTAGTTAAATATCTTCAAAAATGGCCAAGTTATACGCATTATTGCAAAAAAAACTAACAATTACTAATTTTTCAAATCAATTTTTGAGCATGAATTTGACATAGTACGCCAACACAAATAGCACCATCGTGTTCCTGAGCTCAAACTGCATCCAATAGACACCTTTTTTGTTGAAAAATTATAACTTCAAAATTTGACCTTTTTTGACCTGAAAGTGACCTGACCTGAGCTAAATTTGACTCAAAATGACCTTGAATGACACAGACGACATCAAATTCGAAATCTCTGACCTAAATGGACCATAAAACATGTGTCACGTGACCGATGGATGATATAATATTTTCGTGACCTGTGATGACCTGACCTTGACCTGAAGGTACCCTCAGAGTATCTAGAGCATCTGTTCACGAGTGTGTGAACCAAAAATGAGCCTGATCTGACTTTTAAGTCGGCGGCCAGAGCCCAAAACGTGAACAAGCCAAAATGCTAATAATTTTTACTTTGACCTGACCTGTGACGTCATCGGTGACCTTGAGGTCAATGAAATTAGGTTTCGCTCGACAGTTTTTCCGGGGCTATCAGACGCCGTTTGAATTTTGACGATCGGCCCAGTAGTTTCGGAGTTAGGAGGGGGGCTATGAATAGCCCCCCCCCCCAGTAGGGCGTGTTATACGCAGACCCCAGTGGGGCGCGGGTTAAGGTTCCACACCGGCGGCCCCGGGTCGGCTCTATACACCAGTCATTCTGAGGGCCCCACCGGCCCCACCAATTTTCGTCGATTTCTGGCGCTGCCCTGGTGTTTGTCCCAAAAGCCTCCTCCTCCTGGATCTGCCAATGGGGGTCAGGTGTCCTAGCATTTGTTTTTTTTTTTAAGAAAAAAAAACTCGTGTCCGGGCTATGACGAAAAATAAGTGGCCTAAATCCGATGAGAAAACAGGATTTGGGGGTACCCTAGGTTTGGCTCCGTGACCTGGTATGCCCCCCCCCGCGCTGACACCCTGGATCCGCCAGTGGCTGATCATTGTCATTTCTGCCACTTTCATGTGGTGAGATGGGGTCATAACTTTAGAGACGGCTGTTTCATATCAATTATTTTACATAAAATAATATTTCCAACCATAAATTAATGTTCGACAGCCAAATTAAAGAAACAATACCAATACAGGCTTACAGTTTAAAGTCGACATTGTGTTGTCTACGATTAGACAGCTGATAACTCATTCCCGTACGTCGTAGCTCTATAATGACCTTTGCTTATTGTCACATGTGCGCCGCATTCTTGATTGTTGCCGACGCCTGTTTGCAGGTCAGCCCACTACAGTTGTTATCATATCGAAAAACCGATAAACTTTTAGGCGAAAAAAGCACTATTTTAGGCCCATTTTTGTTTTGTTTTTGCGATATTAGGTAAAAGCAGAAGCTTCTTATCCTAGGAAAAATAAAATGGAAAATCATTCAAAGGTGGCACACTACCTTTAAAAATTTTGATAGGTCCGTTCGGTCGTAATGGATTGAATAGTCAAATATTCGTAATTCGTATAGGCACGCTGAAGGTCTATAAGTATTCAGTGTAATGAAAAATAAACAATACGAGGTCGTATGCATAGGTCTATAAGTAGTTTTTTTTTCAGGTCGGCCGGAATTGACGACAGAGTGATTTCATGTTCGGCCGATTTTGACGCAGAACATGGTTCTAGGAACATCTCGATAAACTGGCGCAGTAAATGACCTGAGGCTACAACCACAAAAAAAAAATAGCTATGCCCATAACTCGCAACGCCCATAACGCTATGCGAAACAACGTTTTGTCTAAATACGATCCAACTATTTTTTATAGTGGATAACTGGCTGCATGTGTAGTAACAAATCACCTCATAACAGCTTAACTAAAAAGACGTTAACCTAAGAGTAAACGTAAAAGCAAGACGTAAACCATCAATACACTCACCAAAGAACCAGTCCTGCAGCATGTTTGCGGCGTTCACTCTCCAACCGGAGCGGCACCTGACCAGACGACTGCCGTCTGGAGCCCCCGGTCTGCTGGGAGGTCAGCTGTGCGTCACCTTTGACCTCCGGGAGAACGGCGGGCTGTGATTGGTCGGCAGAGCAGCCCGACTCACCGCCTCCGGTCATAGCACGGGAAGAGACGCAGTCAGCTGCGGGGCTGTTCATAAATATAACTACGCTTTTCAATGCGACACAGGGACAGATTTGCATAGAATGTAAACAACTTGAGTTAACATCGTCATGAACATTCAAATGTAATATTTCCATAAAGCATTATATGGACATGCTCGTTTATATATTCAAAGCACGTTTATCTGAGACTTTTTGATGCAATGAATTACGTAGCATCTTCCCTAACATTGTAAAAAGCACGGTCAGCAGAAGAACAAGATAAGTGCCATCATATCTTGCATTGACACGAAACCGTTATATCTGTTTCCGTTTTACTATCTATAGGAATATATTTCGCAAGTATATGGAACCATAGACCTCTGTACAAGTGTTGGTACATCTGCATCAGAGTTCTATGCTATAGATTTGGCACTGAAACATATAATAAGGTTCGATGTGTGCTTATTGAGCACATAATGACCACAAAGTAGAACATAAAACTCCATAGTCGGTTATCAACGCTTGAAAATGCCTTTTTAAGCACCTACCCATGAACAGCTGCCAGCAAAGACGTCAGAGATAATTATATTTTAACACAACAAACAAGCAATAAAACGATTTGTCTCATTCCTATAAACATTGCTGTAGTTCATGGTGAGGATTGCATGTCTATTTTCGGTGTCGTGGAGGCTTACCTATAAAGACGGCGTATACAAGGGGACGAAAACGCCCAGTCAATATGTGAGGACACGAACGGTCGACCGCGCTGTTGTCACGCCATCAACGTTACGTTTCTGTCTATATTCCGTCACGATGAGGTCAGTCTGAGGTCACACGGAGGTGACATGGTAAGTAGCAACTGCGGCTGTTCTCTGGTGAGTGCTCCTTGTGCTCATGAAATATATAAAATAGTCATAACTCATAATAAGTGTATAAGCCCGATGAAATCGGCGTTACTTATGACGAGCTCAGCTTGGCCAGAAGTCACGCAAGGGTATAACCACAAGCCTGGACGAACTCAACCGCAAGTGTCCACTTGAGTATTACTCGTATATGTATGTACACTGTGTTTTGTACGCCAATCAACGCCATCATAGTGTCAACTGTCACGTCTATAAAGTGTTGTTGATTGTCACACTGTCCGGGGCAAGTTATTTTGGGTGTGTGTATGGGCGTTCACACGTCATCGCATTCTGCACAAACAGACCCCGTATATCGGACGGTTGTTGGTTACTCGGTCGATTGCCATCCCTGGACACATGTTCCGACCCGCTACGTCACGTTACTAAGTCACGTCACTAAGGCATGTCACGTCACGTAGTTTGCGACCTATCCAGACCGTGAGGAGTAAGTAATCCCTATCAAGACACCCGCCGATCTCAGCCGCTCATCCTGACCTCGACCTTCCCTGGCCAGCTGAACACGCTCTATTGAACCCGATTGGCAAGCAGTGAGACCGGGCCGCCACGGAGTCCTGGCGACACAGAACAACAGAGCAGGGCCGGGCGGTACCGCGGCGGGGGCGGCGGCCGGCAGTGGTGACCCGGCCGGTCCGCCGACCGGGACGTGTCCGTGTCGTCGATCGTCCATCGATTGCGACTGCGCGACGTCGCGATGCCGGCCAGTGTCCGCGGCGCCGGCGGCAACAGGCGGAGACCCTGGACACCTCCCATCATCACCATCACCGATACAGACGCAGAGAGGGACCTGGTCGACCTGTTTGGGGAGGGCGACTTTCGGACGGAGCTAGCAGACGGCGAGGAGCCGTCTCCGCCGCCGCTGCCACCCGAGGGCGATCAGTCATCGACAGCGACGAGTAACGGTAAATCTTCGTCGTCAGAAACTGGAAATTCGCGATTGCCGAAAATACCCACTACAGTGAAAGAAGAAAAAGAAGAGATGCTGCTTCACTCGGCCGCCGCTCCTCCTTCCGACCGACGCTGGGCCACCCGGCGGAAAACGGGCGTGCAACGCGTGGGCGCCGCCCGCACGCGCACGGCCACCGCCCCCGCCCAGGCTGCCGCCCCCGCCGCCGCCCCGGCGCGGCCCGGCGCCGGGCGTCGTGTCCGGGTGCGTCCCCACAGTCAGATGGCGTCCCCTAGGGAACGGGAGGCGGCGGCCGCGGCGCGTGCTAAGGATGACACCGCCGTGGGCTACGAGAGCGACTCGGCCTGGGATAGTGTGCCCAGCCGGTACAGCGACGCCAGTGGACAGTGGCGGGCACGCAGGGCCACCTTCTTCCGAAACGGCGACCCCTGGTTTCAGGGACTTCAGATGCGCTTCGTGCCTGGTCGGGACTTTGCCTCTCTGGAGGCCTTGTGTGCTAAAATATCGGACCGAATAGGTAAGTTGGCACTCTGGTATGGCTTTGATGGGATCAATTTTAACGGTAACTATCATGCCATATGTATAATAAGGGTTTTGGACGAGACGTTACATTTTACAGTACCTACATATGTCAACATTGAAACACAAGTACCCTATCTTACTGTTTAATTATTGCCCGGCACATGAACAACGAACACGCCATTTCCTTAGTTTTATGCTACATTGCGGTGCGCCCTGAACTAATCTGCTTATGCATGTGCTCGGGCAAGACAAGCGTTTGACTGTACTACCGTAAGAGGTCATGTAAAGCACACCCTAATTGTAGCTCGTAATTCGTATAACCGCTGGTTAGCCTAGCTTGTATTCCATAATCCATAGGTAGTGGAAATCAGGATGATGAGGATATATTTGAAAGTATCTAATTGGTGTCAAAACATCTTTAACATAAACAGAACACGATCCAAGGGAGGGAGAGAAAGAGAGAGAGAGAGAGAGAGAGAGAGAGAGAGAGAGAGAGAGAGAGAGAGAGAGAGAGAGAGAGAGAGAGAGAGAGAGAGAGAGAGAGAGAGAGAAGAGAAAGAGAGAGAGAGAGATAGGGAGAGACGGACAGAAGACAGACAGACGACAGACAGACAGACAGACAGACAGACAGACAGATAGACTGACAGAACAAATCATAGCGTAATATAAATATTGTTATGCTGAACGACACTTTTCACCATAAGATTTCCAAGCTGCTAATGGACAAGGTCGTTACCAAGCCTCGGCTAATTCATTATCCTAAAATTCCTGGCCGCATTAAGTCGTTAGTTTGAGCCCTTGATTAGAGTTATAAAGCCATAAACTTAATTCCTGAGTGTCGCACGCCTTCGTAACACGAAAAGCGTGCATCAACTTCTTTGATGGCCTTGCCGTAGCTCTGGACGACGTAGATGATGATTAACTGTTCGTGAATTCGGTTTCCTAGATTTGATTTGTAGTGCCATTTGACAAAGTTTACCAGAAAAAGAAATAGCCAATAGCATTTCAATTTTCAAAGAATACGTACAAATTGTTAGCCCTGCAAATGAAAGATCAGTCGGAGTGTACCGGTCGGCAGTGCCGAAACAAAGTCGCCTCGAAAAATCATTCAGTCCTAATGGTTTTATGATTAAAATCTTGGCCTATATGTGACGCGGAATCTTGACCCTTTACGTGGCCTACACGTAGTTAGCAGTGGCCAAATTACGATCTGCTGTGGCTCGCAGAGTGGTGGGCATCCCTATCTTTTTTTTCTCTCTCTGACATCGGTGGCCGTTTTTTGCGTGATCAAGAATTTTGTGTCACATCACATGTTTTCTTGTTGTGCTTCATTAAGCCGGGCTATAACTTCTCTGATTCTAAATGTGTTTAGGTATGGTGGTGACAACAGGATTATCGGTTTTATATAGATAAGCTACAAAGGATGTTCCTTGAGTTTTTCCCATCATGTGACGCGCCTAAAAAAATTATCAATGAACCAACCACAGAATTGACAGGTTGTGCTTATTTTCAAACGGTATGCGCCGAGTAAACATGCTTCTGTTGCTGTGGCAACCACAATCGATGTTTGGGTCACAGCGACCTGTCAAACGACTTTAGCCGGAGCATGGCCATCCCACACGCAGGCAGGCAGGCGGGCAAGTAAACGGGCGATGAAATACATCGGTAATGACCACGGCCAGCAGGTGTCCCAGGCTGCAGGCGGGCACGGTATGTGAATAATTAATTGAATTCGAAAACGCCTGGGGTTGTATGGACTGTGACGGTAGTAGGTAGTCAATTCTCTGTGTTGAAGTAGGAATGGTGGCTAATGAAGTATTTACTAGATAATTCAGCATACCCGACAATATAGAAACTTCATGTCTCCAAGATCTTTCTGTTACATTTAGTCTGGCCTCTCGCTCCGTTTTCTGAAAAGCGTTATTAGGGGAGATCCGTTTAAGACGCCCAGGGTCGGTAAGAGGCCCCATCGCTTTTTTACCAAACCAAAAATGTTATTTATTTTTTAATGTTCTTGTAAAGCAGAAGCCCTCTTGAAACAACAACTCACGAAACCTGAGGTATCAGGTGCGTCACAACGACTTTTGGTAAGCCTGTTTCTGTTTTTGCCCCTTTACTTGCTAGATATATGCATCTTTATCACCCTTATATATCTGAAAAACAATGGCTATCAAATGCAATCTTATCTCATCGAAATTGTCATATTTTAGTTTCAGAATAGACCATGTTCTGGTGCGCTGCAAATGTCTCATAAACCATAAATATTGTGACGTTAAAACACTGCATTTTTTTTAAGAGGCCCTCCCTTCGAGGATGATAAAACGCCCCCCGATAAAAAACGCCCCCGATGCTAAAACGCCTGCACCTGCGGCAGGCGTGGCATTCTTTTTTCAAGGAGTTTGTTTTTGTTTCTTTTTTCTGTTTCCTTTCTTAGAGGTAATAGGTACAATTTTCGTTGGTCATCAGCGTTTGGTTGTGCTAGTTTACGCATTGTTCGAGCGCTTTGGAAGTGTTATTGGTTTCGATAACACCGTATTTGCTTAGCTTTTCGAAATAATAGGCCTTGCAGCTGTGTTCGCAAAGCGTCTTTTACAAGTCGACTTGACTTGTAAAACGCCCGAGGGGGGGGGGGCGTCTTACCATACCCATAGTGTAAGAGGCCCTTTTGCAACTTTTTCCAAAATGTTAAAGTTTACGGTTTGTGTACCCCCTAGATTCATTTTGAATGCAAATATGCATGGGAAAATGATGCATGCTCACAGCGCATGCACACGTTAGCTCTTAAATATTATCAGTTGTCTAAGAATAGCAACTGAGCTTAAGGGGGGGGGGGGCGTCCTGCACCACTCTCCCCTATATTCTCCCCACTGCTCTTCCCCTGACTGATGTGTTGTGTGTCTGTCAGATCTTCCAAACGGGGCGCGTTACGTGTTTACGATGGACGGAACCCGCGTGCGGCTGATTCAGGAGCTCCAGGACGGCTCCTGTTATGTCTGCTCTTCCTCGCGTACTTTTCAGGTGAGTGCAAGGCTATAATGAATCACCTCTGCACGTTTGTGCTTAGTGTTGGGCTTTGGAGTCTGTGAACATGAACACATCAGACGTTCCCTCGCGTGTTTTTCCTTTACCTGCTCTTGATCAAGCACAATGTGTTCGTGCAGACACTGGCTTTGTTCTATTAGAAAAATTGGCGCGTGTGCTTTATCGATTTCCTTTCAAATTTTCTAATGGATATCGCTCCATGCGGCTTTATTGAAATTAGTGCAGTCTGAATGACTTCCCCGGATATACCTGCCATCGGATACCTTGAAAACTACGCGCATTTGTCAGAAAAACGTTGGAACTTGGAAGACAATTATGCGCAAGAATCTCTGTGCTTTTTTTGTGATTTGTCTTCTGCTACTAACACATATGAAATCACCAGAAGTCACCAAAGCTAAAAACTTTTACTATTTTCCCCACTGATATTTGCCTTATACGACGAATGACGCTGTTGGTCGTGAAATAAAGAACCAAGTGGGTATGTACTTACATCAAGCGATAGCATCAGTTGGGCGCAAATCTTTATTCCCACTACTGCCCTAAAGTTTCTGTGAAATATCACAAAAATTGCAAACGTCCGGAATAAAATGTCGACCCCATGAAGCTATTACCATTGCATGGCTGCTCTGGCCTCGCATGAAGATATGTGCACAACCTTGCAGCAGTTGCATGTAACCATCGGTCGGTGTTATTCAAAACAGGAAGCGCAATGCTATACCGTCCATGTATTCATAAAACAAAATTTGACCCGTACTGCGGCACTTGGTGAACCATGAAAGATCTATTGTAATTCATGTCATTACATACATCTAGCCGTATGCATTTCCAATGGACTCTGCATGCCTGTGTCGGACGATGTCGTCAGTCCGCTCGGGCCGAGCCGGCGGCGGCCTCGGTCAGCTCAGCACGGAACTCGGTCCCGCTCATTAGCCGGTCTCGCCACGACGGCTTTACGAACGCTGAGCAAACAGTTCATTAGCCGGCCACGAGCCCTCCGGCTACAATCGGGGTCAGTCGCGCGGCCGACCTCCGCCGCGCGCGCCGCTCTTCACTCGGCGCAGCGTCTCAAACCGGTACTGACAGCCTTTGGAAGAGATCACTGGACTCTGTGGGATCGTGGACTCTGAATGGAGTGGAGACAGCTTGCGCTCCTCGGCAGGAGCACGATGTAGTGACGTGGCGACTCAGTTATCGACGGCCATTCGTTCCGGGGTCCCGGTGTTGTGTTTGTAGAATAGGCTGTGCGTGTCGCCTTCTGCTAGTTACGGCCTCGTCGACAGCGCTAATTGTGTGACCTGGGTTGAACGGGTCGAGAGCCAACAGTCGCTCCATCAGTGGGGTGAGTGGCCGTTTAAATATGCGCGTCAACAAAACGTCATGCATGCCTAATTAATGCCAATAACAGTTGCCTATTAAGGTCTTCTTGGAACTGAGAATCACTGCGGTTCGTTATAAATAGAAATGTTATAAAACGAAAGTGATAAAATGGCACAAAATTAGCTCTTCATAACAAATGCACAAAATACCTTTACCAGAATAAATACTACATCATTCGTATCTCAAATCTCTACTACTTTTTAGATATATAATCTAAAAGCGATGCCTGTGAGAACCGGCTATGCTTGTGCATCGTGCGTCAACCAGCTGGAAATGAATTGGTGAGTTCCGCGCTCTGCATGGTCCCACTCTATCCATCGTAGTAGTATCCATCGTAGTAACTGTCCTTTAGGATCCGTCTATCTCAGAATTTTCAAAACCGACTGAATTTGCTTATACAGAAGTTCAACCTCACGATTTATGGTTTTGTAAAACGTCAGCAAACAAAACGTCTTTTGTAAAAGATATAAAAAAAACAGTTTCACACTCCAGCTGGACGTCTACCCTGCTTTGAAATTGTTGAAAAGCATACGGTCATATTTAGCTCTGATGAGTTTTTTCGGCAATGAAATAATAGTGCAATTTTTTGGTAATACAAATCTGCATTTCCTTAGTCACAAATTTCCGTCTGACTTTCGTGTTGCCTCTTACTTCCCTAACTTCTTGGAAAAAATAAAATAAATAAATAGCTCGTTGAGTGCAAAGTAAAGCACGCCAATAAAATCGTCATTTGTGCCACTAAAATTCAATTCAATTTAATCTCTTCAATTTCTTCAAGGCCAAGCTCTTATGGCTGGTAACTTATGGCAAAGATTGTCTATGGTCGTCAAACATGGATGACACGAGTCTTTGAATGATTTAAGAGACAGCGCTTATAAGCCTGGGGTGAAATGAATGTTCGGGAAGTATAGCAACATCCGCATATTATGGATTTCTCGATTCACATTCCGTGTAACCAGCTGGTTCAACGAAATGTCATGCTCGTCGATGTTTCTGTGAGTGCCATTTGAGCGGAATTCATGTAACGGTGATAATACCCACTGAACTTATCCAACGATGCATATGTAAATCAGTAGAATCTTCTTCATAGCTTCAACTTTCAAACCTTATCACCACGCATCGAATTCTCACTAATCTAAGGACAATTTTAACCCTCGCCCGTATTGGTGTTTTTCCAGCCGCGAACGTATAAGGGGGGGTCCGTTGGACCCCCCCCCCTTGCCGTTTCGCCCCTGATCGAGCTAGAGCTTCGCGGAAAAAAACAAGCGCGTTGCCCGTGACGAGAGAAAGCCGATGATACCCAATTTTAAGGTCCTAGGTCATTGGTTGACCTTGCAGGTCAGGTCAATGACCCAAAAGTCGGGAAAATCGGGACCTGTTAGAACGTCGTAAAGTGTGACTGCTATGGGGTTTTTCGGGGTGCTGATCACGAATATCATGTTCGTTTTGATCACAGATGATGTCTTCATGCATTTAGGCCAGGTCGGGTCAGGTCAGGTCAACAAGTAAGGGTATTCGTAGTAGGTGGCAACCGCCTATGACAGCTTCGTAACATGTTACGAAGGCACCGAAACTACTTCGTAAATGTTTATATGGTTGCTAAATTCGAATTCAGCTCCAAAATTGGCCTAGAAACACGTAAAACTCGAAAAAGTGAATCAAGGTCATGAAAGGTCAATGACCTGACCTGACCTTCAGGTGACCTTGACACCCACCCTAATGCATGGGGGCAACATCATATCCCATGTCTGGACGCTTGAAACCACGAAAAGACTGCAAACGCGCGGCTAATGCGAGCCGACATATGTACGCCGAATCGCGATTCCGGCCAAACATGGTCTCGAAAAGTAGGTCACAGGTCAAAGGTCATTTGGGTCAGGGTCATGAAATTTTCAGGGTAGGTGTAAAATTGATTAACGCGAGGGTACTGAAAGTTTCGTTGCGATCGACCGCTTTTTACGCGAGTTATTTGCGAAAAACCATGGGGGGTCCGTTCGACCCCCCCTCTATACGGGCGAGGGTTAAGTTCTAGAAACATGTACATATAACGTATAGGCTGCAGTCAGAAAAAAGTTTTTGCTTTTCATTAGAGAAACTGAGCTGATCACTGCTGGTAAACGTCCTCCCACTTCTACAAAACAATATCTTGCAATGTTTTGAATGTAGTTCGAGGTCTTCACAGTGACATAATTCAACATAACTTGCAACTCGTGCACTTTCTATATTCGTAGACGTCCAGACATTTACAGCTAAATGTTGGGAGCCCCCTGAACAGCCACTTTGTATAAATTTCAAGAGACTTCAGTGAGGAGGTCAAGAAAAAGAGATTCTGCACAAAGCGAAGAGTCCAAGAGGAGATCAGTGATCTTCGATTGGGTGAACTCGAGCCAGTACTAAATACTAATGCGATGAATCGTGATATGAAACGCATCTGCTGAACAACTTACCGATGAGATACGTGTGCGAAGGTTACAAATTCGTGACCAGTGTGAGACTTTAGTCACATAGCTATTCTCTTTCTTTGGCGCCTGCACGTTTGGATACCTGTCACTTATGCTCCCATTTGTTTCTTTTGGCCAACATTTCGCCAAGATCAAGGTGTTTCAGTGTTATGGCTGTCTCCCTGCAAGTGCAAACAAGGTGATCCTGTCGTTCGAAACTTCAAACTTCCTGGTCTTTACGATTTCTGGAAGACACTGATTCCTCTTCAACTAACATAGCAAGTCAGCGTGCTTATAAGACAGGACCCGAAGGGCATGGGCCGTTGCGACCGGCGCCCTCCACCGGCGTGGCAGGTCACCGAACGACCTCTGGGTCCGATTGTGTCCGTGTTCCATCGTCTGTACCGAAGCGCTACCGACCACGGCTCCACCTGCATTCACTGTATCCTAAAGCAGCAGCGCAGAGCGCAGCCGACTCTTCGTGTAAGTCGAACTTTGGTGGCGCTCATACGCTTTCTCGCTGTTCGTTGTCTGGTAGATATTTGTAGTAGAGTTTTGCTTACCTCTTGGTGGCTTGCAGATACAAACACGATGCTGAACACTCATGGTTTCGTGCTAAAATGAGAAGCTTCACGCCTCTTTCGGTGAAACTATAGACAAGAGCTCCGGCTCTGTATTTTTAAATCGCGATGGTATTGTTTTAGTGAACATTTTTGTGATTGGTGCAAACAAGGATCTCTCGCCTGCTCCTTAGGGCCATGGATCACAGTGCCACTGATACGCAACAAGCCGTGGTACGTGTGCATGGTGAATGAACGCATCACATTAACGCATGCTGCTTAAAATCTCGATTTATTTGTGATGCATGTATACTATTTTACAAGCATACGGTGAACGACGATTTCTTTTTTGGACACCACTGAGTAATGCTGTGTAAATGCTTAGAATGATATTTGCACGATAAAACATGGCATATACAAAGCTTCTTTATCATGTTTTATGGCCAGTTGACTGCGTCAGGGCAATGCCTGAGTGCCTCTATATATAGCGTGGCTTTACAGAATGCTAAAAGCATAAATAAAATGAGCGTTATGCTGCTAAAATTCAATAGTTGTGCATGAAAATATTATACTTTGGTTAAAAGAACATTTGGCAAGCGATTTATTACAGAACCCGGTAGATAAATCTCCAATAGTTTGTTGTTAAATTCGAAAAAGGTGATCATTCGATATAACCTTTGATGCCCACGTGCACGTCAGCCATTCATCAAAACTTTAACTGGCGACCCCACACCACCGCTGTCCCGCAGAAGGTGCCTTACGGTATGAAGTCGCTGGGGCGTCGCACTCAACCTGACCCCGAGTCGACTCCGCGCCGAGAAAAGCCCCGCAGGCACCGTGTCAAGCCACTATCGCCCGTGGTGAGGCGCGGATTCGGCCGTACCGCCGGCGGCGGCGGCAGCAGCAGCGGGGGGAGCGGGGGCAGCGGCGGGGCGCCCGCTGAGGTGACGGAGCCGGTGGACAGCGGAGGGAAGGGAGGACGACGCTCCGGCGACGGACGGGTCATCAAGATCGTCAACAACGACGACCACTCCGTGCAGGTGAGTCAGCGATGGCTGGAGTCGATGTTTCTGTGAAATACGGTGGTGCTGGGTTTGAGGTAACCAACGGTTTCAAATAAATGCTGTTTCATCTGTAAAGATCAAGTTAATTTAAAGATCTAGAAATGTGTGTATCGTTGAAATGACTGACAGTAGAGTTGCGCTGCTGGTGTGCTACATCACCTATAACTCCTTCCTAAAATGTTTTACGAAACCCTTATAACGCACGTAGCTTTTCTTTGATTCTTTAGGTTTTATTCCTCAATCCTCATGTGTGTGTGTATGTATGTATGTATTACAAATCGTGTTGTATAGCAAAATGTGTACGTCAAGCCAAATGCCTATGCAACTCTTAAACATATGAATCAGGTTGAGATAGTGAATTTTACGGATCATGGGTCACAAATATGTCATTACGTTTTTTGGCAAAAGGCTTCAGATAGGTAGGTATATTGTCTGAGCATTCGTCTGCAACTCGGAAATTCGTGGTATGAGGAAAGCTGAATCCACTATCGATTGACATTTGAACGCTGCAGCGTGGCTGTTAGGGCAGGGGCGTCAAGTCGGTTTGTCAGCAATCATTGCAATCACGTGAAAATGAACCAGGTGTTCATTTCGATAAAGGGTCGTCTGGAAATTCACCATCATTAGTCAGATGTGCCAGTAATGGTCGCATGCCAAGGCTATTCTAGTCATAATCCCTCTAATTATATGTCGTTGTTCGTCAGCATCATAGCCTCTTATGGCTGCCAGTGCTGCTATTCCCGGCTGAGTAGATACGTAAAGCAAATTTAGGGAACTTCAATCCTCCTTCAAAGATTCACGTTCTCGGTTCTTCCTTCATCTTGGCGAAAACCATGCAAGTTTAGAACTACCAGACGACTGCTCGGCTAGAAACAATAAACGTTATGCTGAGATGCGAAGATGATGAAAGAGATCAAGCTAACCTAGTGATCGCAGGGGTTTTATGGGCTCACCTTCAGGTGAGCCAGAGGTGAAAACTTCTAATCTGTCAAAATTGCGAGGTTCGACGCAATGCATAGTCAATGACCGTTCCATGATCAATGAAATGGCGAATGAAATGGAAAATGATGACAGGGCATGAAGCATTGGGAAATGGTCGAGGACTCGTAAGGATGAATAAAGTTCATTTGAGAAAGTCGCTGAAACAAAGCTTCTCTTCTGCACTTCCTAAAATTATCTCACTTTTACAGAGTCGTGTTTTGCTGAACTTGAAGACCTGCCAACCCTTTGAAGACGTTCTTTTGGATTTGGGACAAATCATCAAGGTGAAGAACGCAGCAAAAATGTACACCACATGGGGCCAGGAGGTGAGTGACAATTGTAGATGTCCCTAGCTCGGACCGCGTCTTTTCATCAAGTTCAAAACACTCCCACCTCTATCGCCAAGTACATTATTGAATAAAACGTTAATGTCTCGCATGTGACACATGAAACATCGCTGAGAAAACATTGAACTCAGGTCATTCCTTGCCCGCACAATAGAAAGCCAAATGTCACTGGCGACATCGAACTACTCCCTGCCTAGCCTCGATGCATCAATTGGGACACAGAGGTGGTCATTGTCATCGACCGAGCTACTTGTCATAAACCACCGGGGTCGCTCGGTTGGTGGGTCGACACTCAGCCCCCACCTGGCGCCTCGCGGGCCACGGTGCAGCGTGCGCCGCCAGCTACCTTCGTGACCCCTCTTTCCCACGATATTCGCTACCGCACGCCCACCACACACCGGGAACCATTGTGTGACGTGATAGATAGAGGTCCTCTTTTGTCAATATTGTGACGTCATCACAGTGTTTTGCCAACACAGTAGCAGTTAATGATGTCTTATCCTCACTTTGTTCCACTGTTTTTACTCGTGTTCTGTAATGAGTAATGATGAGTGATATTGATGAAATACTAGGACTTACTCCACAAGGAGATCGAATGGGTCGGAGCGCTTTCAATATGTATTATACATATCGTCGTCAGCGAATCAATAACGGGTCGAATCGAGTCGGGTATCGAAGAGGTTCGGGAGCTGCGCGGCAGAGCGATCACATACTATTCGAATTATGCATTAAAGAGAATAAAAAACACGTGAGAACAATCATGATACACTAGCTGCTAAAATGAATTAAAATGGGGTGCTAAAATGCATAAATGGCACGTATAAAAATACAATAAAGGGGGGGGGGGGGAAACAGGATACCTATGGTGATAAAGACTGAGTAGAAAAGACTATACAAAAATGAGTGCAAAAACTGTAAAAGGACGAGTACAAATATAAATACATACAAAGGCCGAACTAGACGTAAACACTACTGACAAAAACGGCGGATTATCGGCAGCCAGCGGTCATGCAGCAGGGCACCCGAGTTCCTGTTCACGTTTGCGTCATTCGGCGACACCAGGACGGCTTCACGCCGACCAACAGTCCGAATATAGGCCGATTCCAGGAGAAGTCGCATCTGGTGATGACTGGCTCGATTCAAGATCTTGATGGCATCGAAAGCAGGTGAGCAGTCTCTATGGGTACTGAAGGCCGATGTATTGGCTCTCGAGCGGACTGCTCCAGTCCAGCTCTCCCGGTGTTCTCGGAGTCTCGTGCCCAGCTCACGATCTGTCTCGCCGATATAGACCATTGGGTCACCGTCCACTTGGCAGGAGCACTCGATCCGATAGATGACGTTGCTCTGTTGTAGCTTAGGCAGATGGTGCTTAGCCTTGCTGCAGAGCAGCGAGCCGATGGTGACTGAAGGCTTGGAGACGAGCTGGATCCCGATCTTGCTGGCCTCCCGTTTGAGTTGGTAGAACAGGGGGCCGGCAAACGGAACAGAGACTCGGACAGGCGCCGGGTGTGAGTTCGCGCTAGGTGGCGCTGGTAGGGCCCTTGCCTTCAGTCTGAGATCGGTCCGAGTCTTCTGAATGGCCGAGTCGATGAATGATCGTGGGTAGCCATGATGATGAAACTTCTGGCGGATGAAGTCAAGCTCCTGCTGGCGGTCTCTCATGGACGAACAGTATCGGATCGCTCGAGTGCAGTCAGATCGAATGGCCGCTCTCAGGTAGCGGGTCTCGGTGTAGGAGCTGAAGGCAGGCACTTGGTTGGTGTTGCAGGACTTCCTGTAGACCTTGGTGCAGAACTTGTCGTCTCTTCTAGTGATGCAGATGTCAAGATACGGTAGCTGTCGGTTTACTTCCAAGTCAGTGGTGACATTGATGCTGGAGTCCTTGCTGTTCAGCTGGTTGACCCACGTGACGACATCCTCAGCACGTGGGTCAACCAGCTGAACAGCAAGGACTCCAGCATCAATGTCACCACTGACTTGGAAGTAAACCGACAGCTACCGTATCTTGACATCTGCATCACTAGAAGAGACGACAAGTTCTGCACCAAGGTCTACAGGAAGTCCTGCAACACCAACCAAGTGCCTGCCTTCAGCTCCTACACCGAGACCCGCTACCTGAGAGCGGCCATTCGATCTGACTGCACTCGAGCGATCCGATACTGTTCGTCCATGAGAGACCGCCAGCAGGAGCTTGACTTCATCCGCCAGAAGTTTCATCATCATGGCTACCCACGATCATTCATCGACTCGGCCATTCAGAAGACTCGGACCGATCTCAGACTGAAGGCAAGGGCCCTACCAGCGCCACCTAGCGCGAACTCACACCCGGCGCCTGTCCGAGTCTCTGTTCCGTTTGCCGGCCCCCTGTTCTACCAACTCAAACGGGAGGCCAGCAAGATCGGGATCCAGCTCGTCTCCAAGCCTTCAGTCACCATCGGCTCGCTGCTCTGCAGCAAGGCTAAGCACCATCTGCCTAAGCTACAACAGAGCAACGTCATCTATCGGATCGAGTGCTCCTGCCAAGTGGACGGTGACCCAATGGTCTATATCGGCGAGACAGATCGTGAGCTGGGCACGAGACTCCGAGAACACCGGGAGAGCTGGACTGGAGCAGTCCGCTCGAGAGCCAATACATCGGCCTTCAGTACCCATAGAGACTGCTCACCTGCTTTCGATGCCATCAAGATCTTGAATCGAGCCAGTCATCACCAGATGCGACTTCTCCTGGAATCGGCCTATATTCGGACTGTTGGTCGGCGTGAAGCCGTCCTGGTGTCGCCGAATGACGCAAACGTGAACAGGAACTCGGGTGCCCTGCTGCATGACCGCTGGCTGCCGATAATCCGCCGTTTTTGTCAGTAGTGTTTACGTCTAGTTCGGCCTTTGTATGTATTTATATTTGTACTCGTCCTTTTACAGTTTTTGCACTCATTTTTGTATAGTCTTTTCTACTCAGTCTTTATCACCATAGGTATCCTGTTTCCCCCCCCCCTTTATTGTATTTTTATACGTGCCATTTATGCATTTTAGCACCCCATTTTAATTCATTTTAGCAGCTAGTGTATCATGATTGTTCTCACGTGTTTTTTATTCTCTTTAATGCATAATTCGAATAGTATGTGATCGCTCTGCCGCGCAGCTCCCGAACCTCTTCGATACCCGACTCGATTCGACCCGTTATTGATTCGCTGACGACGATATGTATAATACATATTGAAAGCGCTCCGACCCATTCGATCTCCTTGTGGAGTAAGTCCTAGTATTTCATCAATTTAATTCCATCTCCACATCATGTCATTACGATGAGTGATATGTTTCAATAGGTCATTTGAAATGCGTTTGGTTACTGGTAAAGATGTAAGTACATTGCGCAATGAACATATGTACTTGATCGCGTTCTTCAAAATGTTACGCAAGTATATAAAGCGGAGGATGAAAGAGACTAAAAATACTGACCGCTTGGCGTAGACCTCTACCAAGCGTCTCTCTGGCTCCTCCAGGTGAAGAGTTTCTCCCAGCTGAGGAATGACTTCGCCGAGACGGACACGTTCTACCTGAGCGGCGGAGGGCAGACCACTGTCCGGGGGACAAAGGTTACCACGGACACCGCCTTCCGCACACTGGAGGACCGCAAACTGGATAAGATCATGAGGCGTTACAACAGCGAACCTACCCTGCCCGGTTAGTTTGCGTGGACTTTTAGGTAGTTAGGGGTTCGTATTGCAGGCGCCAGGGCCACACGAAATGAGGCGCAATGAAGGTGATTTAGGAAAACTGTCCTGTGATGTGAAGCATTCAGTTGAAACTCGAGACTCCCCGCGGCGTTGTTGGAGCAGCGTGGCGGCTTGGCTGGACTGCAGTCGTGTTAGTATCGATGTTCCCAGCCAGGTCATTATGCTGGCATATGTAACCAAATACGTCGCCATAAAGTCTGCTCAGTTATTGGCGTTTCCAGCTTTCACTGCCGAACCGTTGCTTGCGACTACCGACTCGACTGTTCGCTATTTCTGTCCATTCCAGGGAAAGACCGCAAGGCTCAGCCGATACGGGGCCGGGCCGATTCCGCCTCTGTGCCCAGCGTGGGGCCGCGCACCTCGGCAGAGAGGGCCAGTGAGGCGGAGAAGCCTCGGATCAAAGTCAGTCTGCTGGGGCTGACCCGCACCTTCTACCTGCCGAGCAGACATCCGCGGGTCAACCCGCTGCCTCCCGACCGACGCCTGAAGCTCGACTGGGTGTATCCTTGCAAATGCTAGAGAGCACGGGAAAGAATGGAGCTGATAAGAAACGAGTCACTTTTTCTATCAGATTCGGCACCAGAGATTTGTCGATTGATATACTATAAGATGCATTTGGCTGCTTCGAAGTAAACATTACGGACTTTTGAAATAGTGAAAATCAATGAAACACTTTCCTTTTGATTTAGGTCAAAATAGCAAAATTTAACAGCAGGAAGCTACCTTCTTCCACGTAGAGTCACGGCTTAACCCGCGAGTTGCTGGGGGGGGGGGCGTTAAACGCCCCCACTGTTTTCGCCGGGCCATAGCATAAAAACGGCGCGCCGCAGGCGCGCCAAATTTTGGGTACCTGTAGGGAATTGATTGAAGTTTATTGTGACAAAGTTTCAAAAAAAACGATCGGAATTTTTTTGAGATATCGAGGTTTTAGTGACGTCATGATTTCTGAGTTTTCGACCGTTGTTTATTGTTGTTTATTGGGGCTTTAGGGCGCGTCGACTGCAAAGGTCATTTTGCGCCCATAACGTCGCGCTAGTAAAACAAGTGTTTCAAAAGAAGAAACTTTCTAGATATCAAGACTAGAAAGTAAAAGACTTTATAAAAAAGACAGGGTAAAATAAAACAACGCAAGAGCGTCGTAAAAGACAACTGACTAGACAAGAAGACTAGAGAGGATTTGGGTCAGGTCGAATAAATCGCTTGGAATTTGACTGCACGGATAAAGGAAAAGATGTTGCCAGATAAAACCCAGGGTGACTCGTCACCCAGCAGGTGGCGGACAGTGGTACCCGGAGCGATGCGGCCGAGGTAGCGTGTCCGGTCTGGTTCTAAACGTGGACAAGATAAGAGCACGTGAGCGACGGTAAGAGGCGCGGAACAACCGTTGCAAATGGCCTGCTCGTCTCCGCGGAGGAGGTGGCCATGCGTGGCATATGTATGGCCGATTCGGAGCCTGCACAAGATCACCTCGTTGGACCGGTTGTCTTGCAAGCAAGACCTCCATGGCTCCAAAGTCGGCTTCACCTCACGGAGCTTTCCGCCTCCACGTAGGCTCCACTCTGCCTGCCACTCAGAGAGAATGAAAGATCGCACAGCCGAATAAAGGTCACGCGCCGGCAATGGCAGACGTCGAGTGCAGGAGGCTGCGGCCGCGCGCCTCGCGGCCGCATCTGCCAGCTCGTTGCCGTGTATGCCGACGTGGCTGGGAATCCAGCAAAACTGAACAAATTTTCCCGATTGTTCCACTGACTGAAGTCGAGCTAAAATGTCTTGAACGATCGGGTCAACTGGATTAAAACTCCGTAACGCCAAAAGGCTACTTAGGGAGTCCGATAAAATCAAGTAAGAAAGGCCGTCCGACACCTCGATAAAACACAGAGCCTTCTCGATGGCGACTAGCTCAGATGAAAACACCGAGGCAAAAGAAGGTAGAGAGAATGAGCGGGTATCGCGACCTGCGATAAAAGCACATCCCACTCCCTCAGGCGTTTTTGATCCGTCTGTAAAAAAGGTGTTAACCCTCGCCCCGTTGGGGGGGGGCCATTTTGCCCCCTCCCCCTGTGGTTTTTCCTGAATAGCAAGAAAACGGCGGCGCGCAGCGCCGCCAAATTTTCAGTACCTTTCCGATCATCAATTTGACACCTTCACACCAAATTTCAAGTCTTAGGTCACCTTAGGTCAGGAGTTATTGAGGTCAAACTGAGGTCATGTTCGAGCAAAAATGAGCAAAAAACATGCAATCTTGAAACGCTCACCAAATCTACAGTTATCAAGCAATTTCAAAGTTCTTTATATGGTCTAATAGACAAAAAGCGGCGCTACAAAACTGCTATCTCGGATTTTCAAAATTTTGGGTTTTTGACCCAAAAAATTTCAAAAAATTGATTTTTTTAGAAAAACTAGAAAAAAATCCAAAATTTTTCGGAATTTCGAAAAAAACCGGAAAATATGTGATAGTCCCGGCGCTCTTCTATATACATACCAAATTTCAGATCGATATCTCGTTTTTTGGCCAAGTTATAGCGAAAAAACTGTTCAAAAATAATGACGTCAAATTTTTGAACTCAATTTTTAGCGATTCTAGACCTCGTACGGCAAAACAAAGACCACCATTGAACTCCCCGTGACGAGCTGCATCGATTCGATACCCATTTTATGCAAAAATATCAACTTTGAAATTTGACCTTATTTGACCTGACCTTGACCTGACCTTGACCTGACCTTGACCAAAACGTGACCTAAGCTGGCCCCAAAGGCTGCCTGACCCACATAATCGCATTTGTCATGTAAAATGGACCATAAAACATGTATCACACGACACTTTCATATTGTGACCCCCCAGTGACCTGACCTCAGTGACCTGACCTGGTATCAGTGACCTCAACTAGCAAAATATGTGTTTGAAGAACATTTCCCCATCGATGATTTTCAATGAAATGCATTTTACTCGATTTTACAACGCATTTCTTGAAATGCCTGTAAACGGTGAAAATTGGACCTTTGACCTGACCTGTGACGTCATCGGTTTGACCTAGGTCAATAAAATTGGGTCACAAGGTAGTTCCCTGATAGGGCTATCCAACACCGTTTGCCGCTTGTCGCTACGTTGCGTGGTTCTCGAGATCTTAGGGGGGGGGGCCAAAATGCCCCCCCCCCCCAACGGGGCGCGTTGCTCGGCAGAGCCCAACGGGGCGCGGGTTAAAACCATCGTACGAGACGATGTGTTGCAAGGCCCTGACTCGCGCCTCACAAGGCAGCAAGTCATCCTTCTTAACTTCGGAGAGTGAGAGATCTACTTGAGGTTTTGCGTGTTTCCAAGGCGGAGAGGACGTACCCCAGCTACGTCGTGTTCACAAAATCATATAAAATCACGGAATAGACATACAGACATGCCGTAAACACCATTAGACTGCCAATACCATGAACTATCAAATGGCTATCTTCGATTATTGATTATCGTTCCGCATTTTCCAAAATCTTGAGCTGAATCTTGGCAATTTCTCGTGACTACTTCACCACCATGATACATGCATTTCTTAAATTGAACTTTTTGAGCCAAACACGTACATATATGATAAAAGGAATGTCACCATCGTGTTCTACGCCCCAAATTACCTACCCATAAAACATGTGTCACAGGCTGCGAATATCAGTTTTGATTTTCGGGGATATGTGCCTACCCGGTTGACCTGACCTTGACCCTGACCTATGCTTGACTGACCCCTACATAGAGCTGACACTCTTGTAGGTCTTATATGATGGATTTTGCGCCGTTTTGACAGAGTTTATGACGAGAGGAGCCCATTGCGAAGTCCTGAAGTCCATGCTACTGAAAGCCCGATTTCAGGTGTTTGACCTGACCTTGACCTGACATCTGACCTCAAAATTCAACTTTAAAGTACTCATCTGAAGCGTCTCGTCGCGTTCTTTCGTTTGCCGCCTCGTGCGTTTCGCTGCGCCTATTGGTTCTCGAGTTACCGGCTGGGGGCGTTTAACGCCCCCCCCCCCCAGCAAATGGTGGGTGGCGAAATACCCCAGCAACTGCCGTAGGTACTTACGTCCCCGTTTCGGTCTCTTCCCCGCCCCGAGGGCGGCCGCCCGGCCGGCGAAGGACAGCTGACCTACTTGGCACCTGGGAGGTAGACTGACCCGCAGGGCTGTTACTCGGTGGCACGGCCAGTGCGGCGGCCGACGACGGCCGGCAGCTCAAGGGGCAGCATGAGAGTCAAAATCCTCCGCCCTCTCGGCTCGCTTATGTTCCTTTATTTTCTTTTTTATATTGTACGTACATGTGTAAGTTTCATAAGAACAGAGCTGGGCAAGTGCGTTCCTTTAGTGCGTTCCTGCGTTCTTCCGTACGTACGCACCGCCCTTTTTAGGAACGCAAGAACGCAGGAACGCAAAGTTTTTCAAAGGAACGCAAGTAAGAGGAACGCACCACCCGAAATTTTGAAGCGTTCCTGCGTTCTTGCGGAACCACCCGAAAAATCATATTGCTGCCAATGACCTCTGTGTCAAATGTTTGAATCTCGAGTACGTGTGTTTGCCGGTAGAGGCGCCACTTGTCGGTCGAATCGAGGAAGGCTTGTTTAGATTTAGTGGTGATGTTCACTATTCGATTCGGTTTCAGGCATCAAATATGTAAAGGAAATATGAGAACTTTTACTTAGATACATCTTTCAACTTAACTATTGTTTTTAAGCATGTCGTATTTTTGTTGAAAACCCTACGGATGATATTGGTAAAACGTATTTCAGATATTCGATTCGGAAAAGAGATGTCGAGTTGCTTTTCGGCCCCGCGTCGCCATTCTGGGTATTCTGTGATCGATTCGCCTCGTGTTTGGTTGGGCCCGCGCCGCGTGGTTCGGCGGTATTTCTTTGTCCACGACTTCGGTTGTGAAGAACACGCCTGTAGTGTTGGACTGGCGCGATTTGCCTATACTTTGTCCGCTACAGTGTTGCGTTGCACTGATTTTGGTATGATTTGCTGCTTGGTAGAGCCAGAATACAATACGGGTTAACAGTTTGGGACGCAGGAACGCAGGAACGCTAACGCACCGAGCGAAAAAAAATTGAGGAACGCTATTCCAGGAACGCACTAACCGCGGCCGGAGGAACGCAGGAACGCTAACGCACTACCGAAAATCGAGGAACGCGCCCAGCTCTGCATAAGAAAGAGGTTGACGTTCCCTTATTTGCAGTAAACACTACTTGGCTCGACCTTATACTTTGCTCTACCTATTGAGCGCAAACTTGTTTATAGCGAGTTAGTAAACCTATTTGGAAAATACAAACGATATATTATGTAGTACGTAGCATCATAAACAGGCAATGAGCACCACATTCAGTCAGAATTGCTGCATCAGTGGATGGGGCCACTCATCATTCCCGATCCATGCAGCCCATCGTTGACTAAAAAAAACTAGAATATTAGTCGCTGATTGCCGATTGGCTGAAAACGTATCGCGGCCACGGCCCGAGCTGTTTGTCCAATCGAACGCTCCGTGGACTGGATGGGGAAGTTTTGTCCTTGCGTGACGGGACGGCCTCATAACGTTTGGGTCGGCCCGCGAGTGTGTTATACTCACGGACACGGACGGTTCCAGGGAGGCTGCTGTTGGTGGTCTGTCTGTGCGGGAGTCTGTTCGTGAAACTGAGGATGCGTTTAGGATGCATTAGCACGCGGGTGTCTTATTATGATCAAGATCATGCATGTTGCTTTAATGGATGTCAAACAGGAAAGGCATAGTTCATTATTCAATACGAAATGCTAGTTTTCGAGAATAGCGCCGAACATAAAGAGCTACATTGATGATCTGCCAATACGTGTTGTGAATTCCTGTCTGATAATTCAACTGCAGATAAACAAACTGTACTAGACCTCGGCTAGCTAGCCTCTGCAGTATTCACGCCATTCATGTTATGTTGATGTGCGACTGTGATAACACTTAAAGCTGTTCAGCATCGATATGCTACTATGAACACAACGTTTATCTTCCTTTTATTAATTTCTCGCATACTCATGTGTAAATCCATCGTGTTGAATTCCTTGACTAGTCTGTCACCAGTCACGGGTACCGAGGGGTGGACACCAGCCACAACCTGTGGCTGCTGCCGTCCGGAGAGCTTCTCTACTTCGTGGCCACGATTGCGGTGCTTCACAACCGGCGATCGGACACCCAGAGACACTACACGGACCACACAGCCGACATTCAGAGGTGAGTGCTGGGTATGATCATACCGAGGACATACGGAGCTGGATATGGACGTGCGAAAATACGCAGACCTTACGCAGAAATAAAATACGCAAGCCCTGCACCTATATTCGGAGGATAAATATAAAATTTAAGCATTATCATTTGCTTACGAAAGCAATGCAAAGTGTTATTGAAATGCGGGGAAAAATTCAATTTAATTACCAATTTAGTGAACTTAGACATGGTGATATTCCCTCAGTCGGTCAGACTGATTGACATCAGTTTGAGATCTGTGCCTCCCACTACATTTTCTTTCTTACCTGCGTCCTCCATCCCGCAGTATGGACCTGCACCCGTCGCGTCACGTGGTGGCCTCGGGTCAGCGGGCCGGTCCCGGCTCGCTGTACGGCGCTGTGCGGGTCTGGGGGGTGGACCGTCTGGACACCCTGCACCTGTTGGCCGGAGGGGAGTTTCAGATGGGCGTGTCGGCGCTGTGCTTCTCGATACGGAACCAGGGCGCCCACCTGCTGGCCGTCGATGATGGAGAGGAACACCTGATGTCGGTGTGGACGTGGCAGAGTCAGCAGCTGCTCGGCAGGGTGGCGGTGAGTGGGGTAGGGTCGGGGCTGCTAGGAATTCAGCCGTTTGGTGATTGGCAAAGGAGGGAATTTCATCTTAGGCAAAGTCTGAAAACATTGCAAATGAAAACATGCTTTTAGCCGTGGTGAATGTGAAGAGTATTTACTCGATCTACTACCGCAGACGCATCATGACAAAATCCACGGCGCCAAGTTCCACCCGATGGACAATAACCTGATCGTCACGTACGGAAAGGACCACCTCAGTTTCTGGACTCGGAGACGGGACGGCATCTTTGACGCCGTCGACTTGTTTGCTGGGGTAAGTCTGCCATTAATGAGAGACCTCGCAGCAAATGCACACAGTCTGTGCAGCATTGAGCGACATTTGTGTCGCGTCTGTAGTTTGACTGAGGGCTTAGGCCGGTCGCCAAGAGACTTTGTGTTTGCTTTTACAACCCATGTGTATTGTGTAATCCAGGATCGCTGCGCTGCTTCATGACGTTTGCAGTTGGGATTATGCTTCAGTGCCAGTACAATGAATCTTCTGCGATCCATTTATAAACGATTTACGTTCCAGTGTTACCTGAGGGTCTAAATAATGATTACATTCGATTTCTACAGCTAAATATGCCTCGCAAAATCACTCTGAAACCATCTTGCCGGAAATGAGTTGATTCATTCAGTCCTGCAGATGCGTATTCTCTGAGACAGAACAAACGACCTTTCGCCGCATTGGACATCCGGAAACTTTCCCGAACAGTACCTTCTGATTTCCATCGCCGAGGAAGAATAATTGCTTCTCTGAACGTTTTCTCGTGTTTCAGTCGGCGAGGAAGACTGTGTTGTGCGTGGCGTTCGAGGTCGGAGGCGATCTGATCACCGGTGACAATGAGGGATTCATCACCACATGGACCATAGACAATGACGGCGATTACAGAAAGAAACACGATTTCGAGGTGCGTAGAATCACTTTCTTTCTTCGCTGCTTATGAATGATTTTTTTTTTAACATTAAATCGTATTTTGTTAAATTGTCTAATACTCTCCTAATTTCATGACTCATTAGAGCCTCAGTTACTTTCATTCTGTTTGCTACCTCTGTAGAAAATCTGATTAATCGATATTTGCTGCAAGCAAGATTACTTTACTACTCAAGTGCATGCACACGTCCTAATGTATATCGAGTTACATTATGACGGGTGTAGCAGTTATGTGATTGTCTTTGCAGAATGCAGCTACAAAAGACATACGTGGCATCCATCTAATAGTTGTACTCAGGCATCTGTATTCCTTGCGTCGGCAGGCCCACTCTTGTCCGGTGTCGTCTCTGCTGCTGCTGTCGGAGATTACACTGCTCTCTGGTGGCGAAAAGGACCGCCGGATCTGCGCCTGGGACTGTGGCATGGACTACGACAAACGGGCAGAGACTAGGGTGAGAAATCAGAAATACTCCTTGGAAGGAAACCTGATGATTGGATAACACATTCCAGAAGAAATGGCTTAACGTTAGAATGCGTGTTTGTTTAGCTATCACGGGATTCGAGTAGGTTACTTTGAGCTCTTGTTTAGAGGTTGTCATGGCAATCCCAATGAGTCACTATGCTGTCAAATGTGCGTGCGATAGCTGACATGCGGCGCTAACGATTTCTACCTGGTAGACCGTTTAACACGCGCAGTGGAAGGTGGAGCGGGCGGATTTCGCCCACCCCTCCTGTTTTTCGCCAATAACTCGCGCCGCAAACATAATATTAATGTGAAATTTAGGCTACCTGCCCAGAATTGAATTGCGGATCTTCTCGTGCAAGAAATAAGAAAATCGGTTCGCAACTTTTCTAGTAATAGCGGTGTAAAGTCAAACATCCTGTCGCCGCGGCGACCGGCGCTAGCCGTTACGCGCCGCCTGAATTGTACATAGACTGTGCCGAGGCGGGACGGTTCCGTCTTTACATCGCGCTCCTTACCGCTGATTATATTCGATTCGCGTCAAATTTGGTGTGAAGACTAAGAAATGTACAGGCAATCGTATGTTTAAAGAATTTTGAAAATCGGCAGGTAAAAACTTGAGTAATGAGTGTGTAAACACAAAATTGTGATTGCCGCTTTTCCCGCGTCCGCCGATCCCGCTTCAGCCGGCGACATCTTACCCTTAGCAGGCTTCTAACTGCCATATTTATTGTTTGATTAACTAGAAATTCAACCTACGTACTCACAAATGTATGTTCTTTCGTATAGTGAAAGAAAAAAGAAAATCGGCCGGTGACTTTTTGAGTTATCGGCGTGTAAACGCAAAAAAGTCGCTCATATGGCAGATTTGACCACATTTGACCTCGGTTGACCTTGAAGATATTGACCTAGGGTCATGAAATTCACACACAACAGAGTTCCCCAGGGCCCCCACCTACCCTTCAAATTTAGTCTTCCTAGCTCTACTGGGAGCTGAGATCTTAGGGGGGGGGGCGCCATCCGCCCCCCCCCGTTCCACTGGGCGTAGTACTCGCAACCCTTCCACTGCGCGTGTTAAACTCTTTTGGAAGCCTTAGCCGTCTTTTTTTTACACAATAATGAGCAGCATGGCCCCGTGCGGAACACACATCATCCATTTCGCGAAACCTTTGTTTGATAACGTTGGTTGTTGCAAACACAGATTGCGTAAGAACGAACTGCTTTCAATTCAATATTTTAAAGTTGAATTAGTTTGGTGCAGCATTTAGGTAACCTAAACTCGATGGTCATTCAGCTGTGAACATAACACGTCGACCATGATTGACACCGCCGGGCTGAGCCGCTCAGTGCTCACTGCTCATACTGAGATGTTTCCGTTACATTGCAAACAATCACTTCACGTGTAGAAGTCACTCGTAACAACTCTAGTCCCGCCTTTGCCTACAGTTACCGGAGGCAGCGGGCGGGATCCGGACCCTGTGTCCACAGAAGATTGGCACCAACGACGGAAACATATACGCCGGCACCGTCAAGAACATGATCCTCGAGGGATCCCTCATGAGGCGCTTTCACACGGTCAGACATTCGACATTCATCAATCAAATAAAGCTTTGGCTACTTTCCTCTTCAAGGACATCCAGCTTGGCTTACTGGACGTTACTACTGCCGCTAGATGTCACTAGTAGTAGGCGCCTGCAAGATAGGCTGTGCCGCAAGACTTACCAGTCGCCATCTGCGCAACTCTCGAAGAAACGCTTTGTGCCTTTGACGATGTGGCTTTGACACTGTGACTGTGTCCTCACAGATTGTATTTGGCCACAGTCGGCAGCTGTGGGGTTCTAACATTGTGACAGTGTTTCCACGGGCTGTTTTCAGTCACAGTCGGCAGGTGTGGGTTTTGACACTGTGATTGTGTTCCCACAGGTTGCGTTCGGACACAGTTGGCATCTGTGAGTCTGAAACTGACACTGTGAATGTGTTCCCACAGGTTGTGTTCGGTCACAGTCGGCAGCTGTGGGGTCTGACACACTGTGACGGTGTTCCCACAGGTTGTGTTCGGTCACAGTCGGCAGCTCTGGGGTCTGGCCGTCTGCCACGAAGAGGAATCATTCGTAACGGCCGGCCATGACCGGATCGTAGCCAAGTGGTCTGCCAAACACAAACTGCTGTGGAAATCACCGGTAGGTACATATAGTGGAGGTCATGATTGTTCGTGGCATAACTGCTAACTAAACTAAAGAAACAAATAGTCGCGCTCAGGCATCGCATACTAAAAAACAATATTTGCAGATGCTCCATGCTAATACGATCATAAGCCGTAAATGGGCCGCAACGCTCTATAGGCATACATTTCAGACAAACATTTCTTCACTCATGTCTTTGTGGTAGCTATGCCTACTCCTGGTCCGGCCACACTGTACCTAAATAAGCTATAGTCGCCGGATCAGCGCTCTCAAAGCGCCCCGTGCCTTACAGATCAGCAGTGAGGGCGTCGCCTGCAGCATACACCCGCTGGACACGGTGGTAGCGGTGGGGTCACAGGACGGCTACCTGTACATCTTCAAATTGTCTGACGGCGCCCAGGTGGGCTCGTTTAGAGTCTGCGGACAGCCTCTCAACTGCATCAGCTACAGCCCAGGTCAGTTGGCGGTTGTGTGATCAACTGATGTCGATGTCAGAATAATGGCGATGGATGGTGACTGGCGATACTGACTGCGGAGTATCGAACTTGAATTCACATACCTTGCACACTTTATGTCGTAAACGAGCAGAAGGTGTCCAATATACACCTAGAATACAGGCTCACAGGCAGCCCGTAAGTTCTCACAATGAAGGTCCTTCTTTCTCTTGATCTGACCTGTCGTACTGCCTTGACTTGACCTGAGGTGACCTAGTGTAACGTGGTCTGAGGTCGCCTGACGTAGTCCTATCTCGTACCTCATATTGTCATGATATGGTGACCTGACCTGACGGCTGACCTGACCTCTCACTAACCCCGCAGGCGGTGACATGCTGGCTATAGGCGCCCAGACGGGCAGCATCTACCCGTACAAGGTGGGCAGGGACGGCACGGTATACGTCAAGTTCGGGCCGATGCAGGGCTCCCAGCCTCTGACCCAGCTTGACTGGAGCGTGGATGGGGAGTACCTGCGCACCGTCACCAGCCAGCACGAGCTGGTCATATGTGAGTAACGGTGTAGAAGCAGAGATGGGAGGACGGGCGAGGGTGGGATGTGACTGTGAGGTAGAAGTTAACCCTATTAGTGGCAGGCTCCTGGCTACCCCATATTAGTGGCAGGGGGGGGGGCTGTTTACGACCCCCCCTTGATATCTCGAGATCTAACCGGCCGATTTTCAAAATTCAAACGGCATTCGATTTGGCTCAACGAGATCTACATTTCTAAAAAAAATAAAATTAAAAAATGTCAATAGGGGGTAGAGGGGGGTAAAAACGGGCAAATTGCAGATACATTTTAGACTATTTATCACGGCCAGGTTTCTGAACCAATCTTAACGCAACTTTTGCCGATCGATAGAGAATGAACCAGGAATTCACATGGATCCTAAAAATATGCATTTTCAAAAATCATAGGCGGATACAGATCATTGAGATTGGGGGTACACAAAAAGAATAGTAAATAAGGTTTTTGTTGGTACTGTTTCTAAAAAGGGTGGCAATGGTCTTGTTATGTTACAATTTTCTTATGAGAGAACGACTAAAATTGTATTGGTCATGCATAGGCGGTGTCAGGGCACCTATGTTGGGAGGTAAAAAATAACCCCCCTTTTTGGACGCCTGGATCCGCCTATTATAGCAAAAACGTGTCAAAAGAGGATGCACAATAACTTTGTATATGTTATCACATGATACCTTTCATTCACTGTTCGTAAAACTGGTGCAGCATCGTGATCTTCGCCCAAATGACTCGCTTCACGAATAGGACCCCTCAATTCCCAGTGCTCTGGAGCCGCCCCTGAAAAAGTTATTAACTTGAAATTTTCAGGGAATGTGCCCAATTTAGTTTTAGGAAAAGTCAGAAAATTTCAGCATCGTAGCTTCAGCGGTTTCGGAGATATTCCCGAAAAACCTGAGGGGTGGATAAAAACAACCCCCCCCCCCTCCCTGCCACTAATAGGGTTAAGGCTGGCATCAAGGTGTTACCGGGATAGGCCTGGATCCATTGTTGCTGGAGTGGAATACAGCCAATCCAGAACATGTGCCGTTATATAAACTTCCAAATGCCAGCTATGAAATAAAACGATTTTATGACGGTTGTGATAAAATAAGGTGATTTCTTGGCCATGAAAACCCAACTGCTATAAAACGCTTGGTAAAAGGCTTCGATCGGACGAGGGACGACGTGAACGCTGCTCTAAATAATTAAATTGTATGACTATGAATGAACCATCCGCCTACATATGAAGACACAACTGCTGACAAGCCCTCTCGATGCCCGTGGCAGGGAATAAGCGAGCGATGGGCAGGGACCGGGCGCCGTACAACCTACGAGACAAACACTGGATGACCCACACCTGTACAGTCGGCTACCGAATACTGGGTAAGAACATTGTGGTTACCGAGGCTATCAGTTACCTATGTTGTTTCGATGTTGCCGAAAACCTTGAGAGGCTTGGAGTACTCATTGATTTATACTCGTATCAACAAACAAAGGCAAACAACAAATTACATATCAATATTCATTGTTCACCGTGCAGACCCATTTAGTGTAAGATCTCTCCTGTTAGGGATAGTAATTACGACCTAGCCTAACCCTTCCATTTAGCTGCTGATTAGTCCTTTAATCCAGCTTATTTGGCATGACTTGGCCTTATGCGCCACTCCCTTTCCTCAGGTGCCTGGCCGGACCTGCACTTTATCAGGGAGCTGGGCGTGTGGTCAGATAGCTATGTGGACGCCGACAAGGCCAAGGTGCTGGTGACCGCCTGCCGGTCGTTCGACCACGAGCTGCTGGCCGTCGGCGACTCGGAGGGTGGCCTGCAGCTCTACAGGTCAGAAACGAACTGTGTCGTAAAGGCACACAATTGAGCATTTTTAAACGGTGTCAATGAAAGTTAGATCAAAGCTACCTTTCTCCGTCTCGATATAAATCTACTTGACAGCTAGAAACACTTGCAATGAGATTCTGGATGGATTTCGGGTGGACTGTCATAACGTTTTACTAAGAAACGCTTAGGTTTGACTGCGCTGCAGTATCTGATCCTCCTGCCGCTAGATGTCACTAGTATTACCGCCTGCAGGTAGACTGTACCGCAGGACATCGCCTCAACTGGACTACCTACACTGAGAAAGCTTCGTGAATCGTGACTTTGAGGGTGTTGCTCGCACAAAGCTTATTGTAAATTGTGGAGATGGTTGATAGGTCTCATGCCTAGTCCATTTATTAGCTGTTCGTGCATTTTTTTTTTTTTGTCATGCGATCCATTTGTTTGTGCGTGGCTGCTGTCTTCCTACTCCTCGACCCTTGATGTGATGTAAATTGTAAGGGCCATGTACTGATAAGCCGATGTGCCCTTTTTCTTCACTCAGGTATCCGTGCCCTCTGAGCAAGCGGGACATGCCCCAGTGTCACAGCTACACACCTCAGAGCGCGCATGTGGCCTGCACCCGCTTCATGCGCACCGACCGCCACCTGGTGACGGTTGGAGGAACTGACGCTACCCTCCTGCAGTGGCGAGTGGTGTAGAGGACACCGCTGTCGGGGTACATCAGATTGGACTATTCTGTCGGGCAGCAATATTCCGTGCGACATTTCTTTACATGTATGACCAGAGACACCGGACAATAGCCTTGAGAAGTGTAAATATTGTTTGTTATATCAGTTTATCATGCGTCGAAGTGTTGCCTTACGAAGATAAGTCATAGCAGCCAGCCCTGAGCCCATGTTGACTGGTGGCTGCCCTATAGCCTCGTCTTACGAGACTTGAAAGTTGAAAGATGATCTCTACTCATTGTCTGACCCCCTGTTATGACCGTTGTCATTTGGCGAACAGCATGTTGCAAATACTGTAAGTATACTGACCGGGAACTGCATCTATTGATTTCACTCGTATCGAGCCACTAAAGGGGAATCATTGCGCAGGTCGAGCAAACAGGGTAGCTTATTGCCTTTATCTGTTACACTGCATCATCAGCGTAATTAGAAATGTTGGAATGGTGCTGATTTGTTTGTGCTAAGCGATATATCAGAATGTTATACTCATTGCACAATGCAGGAACTTCGCTAACCTGATGGAAAGACCCAACGGCGATTCCCACTTGGCCCAATTATGTAGATCTCTTACGCAGCAGTAGTAGTTAGTCATGAATGTATTTTCATACCAATTGTTTAGTCATTTTGCATAGCCATATAATGAGAAATCAGTACGTTAGCGTGATTTGGGTGCGTTGTGCCGTTGTGACGGACACTAAGTTCTGCCGCCGTTGCGCAACCGTTAGCGCATCAATGCAATACAGATCATGCTTTTAGCCATGTTTTCCATTCCATTTCCATTTTCCCATGTTTTCCATAGCCATCCTCCCCAAGTGCTTAGAGAAATGTCCACCAAAGGCCAAAGGAACTCTTGTCACACTCAGTTTTGCCGGTCACGGGACGACTTTATTGAACGGCTTAAATGCATTGACATCACACGCAGCGAATTTGCGGCTCGATCCGTTACTAGCAATATACACACAGCATGCAGACAGCCGCGCCCAGCGCTGGACTCTGGGGCGCGGAGAGGTCCGGATACGCAGTCGTAGGGCAAACGCCAGTCGGCGCGGTCAGTTGTGCCCCAAATCAAACTGGAATGCTTTGACACAGCTCCGCGGTCATGAGTATTAACGCGTCTCTGGTTGGCCCATGGTGTTGAAAAACAGTCCAACAAGCCGCACGCGCTTCGGAGTAACCCTTTCGAATGCACCAATGTCACCGAATAAACGGAGCTACCTATAGTTCATTTCACACGATGTAACACGTCAACGCCCCAGGACGAATACGGTTACAAGGCTTCCCCATGGGTGCGCTCCAAAACGTAAAACAAAGGGTTTTAGAAGCACCAGGTCCCGCCCCAACATGCAATTATTTCTATTCACGGTGCACCATGCGACCGCAGCGCCCCTGGTGGCCGCGTCAGGCACCACTGGTCGGTTTGAGCAAGGCTGGTGAACAGTCATGGGTCCATGAGCTCTACCACCAAGTTCTTGGGCCGCGCAGAAGGCACTATTCATAAAAAAATCGACCCGCTGCCTCACGGAAGACAAAATACAGCCGTCCTGGAACAACCCGCGGCATTTTCCATAACACTCGCTGTACAAAAGGATACAAAAGAGCACCTCCGGCAAACAAATCATAAACAGAGCCGGTCAAGGCCGCTCCATGGCACACTTTGAATAGCCACGGCACACCACCAGGCCTGCCGAGAGCTGGTCCCACTGTTACAGAATATAACTGACACTCTGTGTGTTTTATGCTCACTGGACGCCTATACTGACAGCAGCACGCCACAGAAACCAGCACTGAGAGCGCTGGTCCGCCGCAGCGTCAGCAGCCAATCAGCGACCGAGTACCAGTGACGTCACGCGGCGGCACGGCCGTTACTTCTTGTCGAGGTCCTTGTGTTTTCCGTCCAGGCCCGGTGAGCCCAGGTGGATGTGTATGTTTGTCGGGAACGATTTATCCAGGTACTTGATCGACTCGTTCAAGTAGTTCTGTCGGAACGGCAGCAAACGCAGGTTACAAGCGGGTCGCCCTCGCAAGGCTATGTCGCTACGCGATTTCATGGGTAGGAAGATAGAAACGTTAGTGATACGACCTAAAGATGAACCCTCTAATATCTACCATGGTTAAAATCACAGTCCACCTGAAAGGGAAAGTATATTATCTTGGATTACCTACCCAGAGCTCCCTGAAATAAAAGCCAAAACGATCCACAGACCATTGTCACCACCAGCCAACATTATTTTCTTAGCCTCTCTCAACGAAGCACCCATTATGCATCGTTCATCCTGTCAGCGGCCGGTCAAACCTCGCCTCACCAAAGAGAATGGTGAGCGCCGCTGTCTCGCTGCTTTCCTAGCGGGATTACGGCGAGTGACGTCTGGCGGTTATCACCTACGTCGGTAAGCATTGCCCTCCCATCGTTCTCACTCGGATGGTAAATGGCACCGCTGTTTCACCTATATGCCGGTAGGCACCGCTTGCTCACCGCTCTCACCAGGGCGCCGCTGAGCCACTGTTCTCACCCATATGTTGGTAAGCATCGCGCTCCCCTCATCTCACTTTAATGGCGTTAAGCAACACTTGCTCACTCTGTTCTCACCTGAATGGCGGTGAGCACCTCTGAGCCACCGTTCTCACTAGTGAACACCCGTGATTCTCACCTGAATGGCGGTGAGCGCCGCCACGATGGCCGGACTGCCGAAGCCGTGCGTTATGAGCGAGAAGTGCGTCAGGTGCCGCTGGATCTGCGGGTCCAGGATGATCTGCGGCCGCGTGTTACACAGCGGCGACCGGTCCTGGTTCAGCAGGTCCATCAGCTCCTTTGTGATCTCCCTGAAGAAGGGGAGGGTGGAGTGAGGAGTTATAAGGGGGCAATTTGTCTCAGTTGGGGAGCAGCGTAGTAGAGTGAAATACTTTATACACAGTCGGCGCTGGACAGCCAGTAACACGTTATTGGTCAGAGAGCCAGACATATCGATTATCGATATTGAGAAGGTCTTTCAATTATATCATTACGACATAAACAAACCTGACAACAAGATCACACCCCTAAACTTCAATTCTTTCAGACCTCTCACAGCTCACACCAATTACCGGTACTTTGTGGCTTCAACCATCCCTCGCCGCTGATACCTACTGAGACCGGTACTTGCATAATTTGAACCCCTCTCCCCTGGTACTGAGTACCAGTACTTACTTGGTGGCTTTGACCAGCTCTCGGCGCTGGTATTGCTCAGCCGGAGCGGAGTGAAGGCGGCACAAGTACTCGGCGATTTGGCGAGACGGAAACTCGGTCTCACAGACGTATCCGAAGTCACGTGCCAGGTGAATCGCCTCGCCTGAGAAAAGAGCGTGGGAGAGGGAGTGAGAGAGGGGCAAAAAAGAGACGAGAAACTAAATGAAGGGAACTAGAAGGAAAATGAGCGGTGAGGAGGGAAATAGTTGAGTGAGAAAGATGGGGATGGGTAGGAAACGAGAATCAAACAAGGTTGATTAGGGATCAACAGTGAAAGCGGTGAGACTTGGTGGAAAGGATGTAAGACGAGACCAAGGAAAACACCCCAGTGAGGGCAAACAGAAGAAGTAAATTTAAGAGAGGGCGGGAAGCTGCGCCTGTGACAGTGCGAAGCTGTTACAAGTAACTGCACGAAGGAGCGTCAATGTTGCACGAAGGAGCCGGGCAAAGTTAGAGTAAATTGAAGAATGCAAAGTAGAAATAGGAGATTCATCGGCAAGTGAATAACACCTAACAAAGATCAAAACCGATGGACAGATGAGCAGTGCCCGATTCGCCAAGCCATTTGTTTGTGTGGCACCCTCATTTGTTTACCACCACCACTATACAGGAGAGCGACTCTAGGAGTCCCAGTCACCCGCTGCTGCCTAGTCCACTGACCTCGGCACAGACTGGAGTGACTGGGAACACTGCGATCGGGACACGGGCCAGAGGTGGAGGGGAGCAGTACCTACTGCTTAATATGATAGCAGCTGCCGGGGTAAAAGATCGACCACAGGATACGTGTGTGTGACCAGGAGCATAAGAAGGTCAACGACCAGACAATAAAATATGGGAAAGGACATGGGTCAGGGAGTCTGAAACTAATTCAACATGTGCACTGTGCATGTTTGAAGTATCTTGCATGCCTGATTATGGCTATCTCCTTCCAGAGCACTCGGGCCAAGGAGGTTAATGTATGCGTCACACGGCTCATGACTGGTCTCTGTATACCTGGATACCTCAGGCATGCAGAATTTGCAGATCACGGAGGTGAGAGGTACATATGTGTGTTTAGTGCTTAGTGTTAACAAAGGTGAGCGCAAGCCAGATTGAAGCACGGTTGGCAATGTTAAAATAAGAGAGATGTTTTCGTTGTATGAATTGTCGTTAAGCTTTAGGATAAACAGGACTCGCCATGGATGTTAAATGAAAATAACGGAACCAGCGAGAGGTTCCTAGGAAGTTTCAGAGCCACCAGCCAAACGCGAGACCCGTTACCACCCAGCATCTCCTTTACCGCTTTACCCCTCCCCTGTCCTCATCTCTGGGTACATTTCAGCGAACCCCACCATCCCCTCCTTCTCCCAGCGGGAGGCCCACCGTGACGCCCACCAGTTTCGGCCCGTCAGGGTAGGAGGGGCGACCGCCGTCCATCAATCTCCACCGCTCCTGCCCACCCGTTCCCGGCCGTTCCGACTCGCTCTCACTGTCTCCTCGACCGCAGACGAGCAGCTAATGACCGCCCGGTCGACAGTATCGTCTCGGATCGCCGACGATGGCGGGAGGTGTTGCAACAGCGCGCGCACTGGAGCGGACGCTGCGCGGCGCGCACTCAGTGGTGGCGGGAGAGGGTGTGGTCAGTGAGCGCGGCTGGCTGAGAGGTAATGGGGACTCGGCGGGGCGAGGGGAGTAGGAGGTTAGTGAGCCGAAGGAGCGTTCCAAGTACAACATAGAATGAATGGGATAAGGCTTGGCAAACTGCAACAGAGTGAATGAGTACCGGTGGATCATTTCAAGACTGTTGACGTGTTGAAACAAAATGGAGATACATGGATATACACAAGTATTAAGCGCAATATTGCCAAGTTAACAAACGAAACTGAAAAGCAGAAGCGTTCTCTTAGCATAATCTAGGCCATTGTTACCTAAATATATCAGATCGCAAATTACTGAGACGACCTGCAGGCAGTCCATACATCGCCTGTTCCATAAAATACATCCAGACTCCGTGTACTCAGACAAGAGCCGTGTTTTCCGAAGCGTCAGCCTTCTGGGAACTCCCCTCCGATACCCGGTCAGGATTATACAGCGGACGGTGCACCACGTGGTGCATTATGAATACGATGATCTGAGCACTGTGCATGAGGTAGCCAGCTAGCGGTCGGGAACAATGACTCACAGAATGTCAGTGTACTTCATGGGATAATCCAGAGATTTACCATGTGTGAGAAATGAGGTTATATTTTAATCTAACTAAGATTTGCCGTACCCAGTACCAGCCACAACACTGATGAGACGTGCCAGTTCTGGGTACGTATCGGTTAATTGTTCGAACTACGTTATTTGTTGTATCTATCAATTGCCCACCAACTACGTTATTTGTTGTATCAATTGACTCACATAATGTCAGTGTACTTCATGGGATAATCCAGAGATTTATCATGTGTGAGAAATGAGGTTATATTTTAATCTAACTAAGATTTGCCGTACCCAGTACCAGCCACAACACTGATGAGACGTGCCAGTTCTGGGTACGTATCGGTAAATTGT